TCTAACAAAAAAACGTACGCGCTTACGCGCGCACGTCTGCGTTTTCTCAACATATTCAAAACATATTACCCAACGGGCTTCGCGGGCGCATGTCGAAATGTTTCGAATGCCTTTGTGCGCGTGCCGTCACGAGAGTCCTCTGCAACATATGGGACGAACTGTACACGTGCGCGTCGTCGTGCGCGCATGCCGAAATCGATGACAAACCTGTTGGTTTCGGAAGGATGTCAAAATCGTGTCCAAAAAACATTTTCTCCGTAAAAAACAATGTTTCGCAACACGGATTTTCAACAAAAGCGTGCGCGCGCGCTCTTGCGTCGTCGACGTCGTCGTCGCCGTCCTCCTTCCTCCGTCGTCGTCGTCGTCGTCGTTGTCGTCGCCGTCGTCGCCCCCTGTCCTTTCGTCGTCGTCGTCGTCGTCTTGGCGACGTCGTCGTTTCCGTCGTCGTTGTCGCCGTGGTCGTCCTTCCTCGTTGTTTTCGTCGGCGTTTCGTCGTTGTCCCTCCTATTTCGTCGCCGTCGTCGTCGTCGTCGTCGTCATTCCTCCTGCCTCGTCGTTGCCGTCGTCGCCGTCGTCGTCCTCCCTCCTCCCTCGTCGTCGTCGTCTTCGTTGGCGACGTCGTCGTTGTCGTCTTCGTCGTCGCCGTCGTCGTCGTCGGCGGCGTCGTCGTCGTCGGCGTCGGCGTCGTCGTCGTCGTCGGCGTTGTCATCGTCGTCGTCGTCGTCCGTGTCGGCGTCGTCATCGTCGTCGTCGGTGTTGTCGTCGTTGTTGTCGTCGTCGAAGTCGTTGGGGACGTCATCGGTGTCGTCGTAGTCGTTGTCGGCGGCGTCGTCGTCGTCGTCGTCGTCCTTGTCGCTGTCGTCGTCGGCGTCGGTGTCGTTGCCAAGTGCCATGTGGTACCCTCCGTCACGGTCTTAAGAGGGATTGCGACCAAGTTGCGGTTGTGAGGGTGGGATGTTTGCACGAGCAGGGGAGAGGTCAGTTTCAGGTTGAGCAAGTGATTGGTTTTCCGTTGTAAAAGAAGAATAGATTCTACCCCCCCTCTGGAGTTGACGATATACCTTTTCGTATGGCAACTTACATATGATTATGCACGCTCGTCCATCCCACATTTGAATTCATACTATCCCAGCCAAACCGGTATCACTCCCCCCCGCCCATCTTCTGCAAACAGGTACTAAGCGCGCACACTCGTTTATCAGAAATCATAAGTTTTCAAGAATCCCTTGCAAAAATGGGACGAAGTCCACACGCGCGCGTTGTCGCGCGCGCATGCCGAAATTCTTCAAAAGATCTTGGTTTCGGAAGGAATTTAGAATCGAGTGTCTCAAACACATACAAAATCGCAGGGTTTCGCAACACGGACACGCGCGCTCTTGCGAAATCTTAAGGAAACCAGCGGTTTTTCAACATTTTAATTACATACTACCAAACGGGCTTCGAGCGCGCGCATGTCGAAGTCGTTCGAACGCCCTTGCGCGCGTGCCGTCGCGAGAATCCTCTGCAGAAAACGGGACGAAGTGCACGCGCGCGCGCGTCGTCTCGTGCGCATGCATGCCGGAATCCTTCAAAACCTTCGGTTTCGGAAGGGTTTCAAAATCGAGTGTCCAAAAATCATACAAAACACATGGTTTCGCAACACGTGCGCGCGCGCTCTTGCATCGTCGTCGTCGTCGCCGTCCTTCCTCCTCCCTCGTCGTCGTCGTCGCCGTCGTCGTCCTCTGCCTTTCTTCGTCGTCGTCGTCGTCTTCTTTGGCGTCGTCGTCGTCGTTTTAGTCGTCATTGTCGCAGTGGTCGTCCTTCCTCCTCCCTCGTCTTCGTCGTCGTCCGTCGTCGGCGTCTCGTCGTCGTCCCTCCTACTTCGTCGCCGTCGTCGTCGTCGTCCTCGTCGTCGTTGTCGCCGTCCTCCCTCATTGTTCCTCGTTGTCGCCGTCGCCGTCCTCCCTCCTCCCTTGTCGTCGTCGTCGTCTTCGTTGGCGACGTCGTCGTCGTCGTCGTCGTCGTCGTCGTCGTCGTCTTCGTCGTCGTCGTCGGCGGCGGCGTAGTCGTCGTCGTCGGCGTCGGCGTCGGCGTCGTCGTCGTCGTCGTCGGCGTCGTCATCGTCGTCGTCGTCGGCGTCGTCGTCGTCGGTGTCGGCGTCGTCGGCGTCGTCGTCGTCGTCGACGAAGTCGTCGGAGTCGTAGTCGGTGTCGTCGTAGTCGGCGTCGTCGTCGTTGTCGCTGTCGTTGTCGGCGTCGGTGTCGTTGCCAAATGCGATTTGTTACCTACCGTCACGATCTTAGGAGGTCTTGCGACCAAGTTGCGGGTGGGAGGGTGGGATATTTGCACGAGCAGTAGAGAGGACAGCTTCAAGACAGTCATAGTGAATTGCATCACATACATTCCCCTTTCTAGAAAGGAAACAGGTTCTACCACCTTTCCCCCCGGGTTAAAGACCCCCCGGGAACCGATACAAAACGCATTTCTGACCCAATGTCCATCCTACCTGTGAATTCATACTATCCCAGTTAGGCCGGTATCGCTCCCCCCGCCATTCTCAGCAAAAAGCTATCATGCGCGCGCAGTCGTTTACCAACAAAACAAATCATGAATGTTCAAGAGCCCCTTGCAACAACAATGAGACGAAGTGCGCACGCGCGCGTCGTCGCGCGCGCATGCCGAAATCCTTCAAAAATCTTCGGTTTCGGAAGGATTGCAAAATCGAGTATCCAAAAAACATGTAAAAAAAAACACTGGGTTTCGCAACACGGATTTTCAACAAAAGCGTCCCCCCGGGTTAAAGACCCCCCCGGGAACCGATACAAAACGCATTTCTGACCCAATGTCCATCCTACCTGTGAATTCATACTATCCCAGTTAGGCCGGTATCGCTCCCCCCGCCATTCTCAGCAAAAAGCTATCATGCGCGCGCACTCGTTTACCAACAACAAATCATGAATGTTCAAGCCCCTTGCAACAACAATGAGACGAAGTGCGCACGCGCGCGTCGTCGCGCGCGCATGCCGAAATCCTTCAAAAATCTTCGGTTTCGGAAGGATTGCAAAATCGAGTATCCAAAAAACATGTCAAAAAAACACTGGGTTTCGCAACACGGATTTTCAACAAAAGCGTGCGCGCGCTCTTGCGAACTCAAGAAAACCATAGGTTGTTCCGATTTGTCATAGCCTGCTACCAAACGGGCTTCGCGCGCGCATGTCAAAATCGTTCGAACGCCCTTGCGCGCGTGTTTGGGTGGCACGATCCGTGTCAAATAATACCATGCGAACCACTCTCGCGCGTCTGCCGCGCGCGCATTTCGAATTCCTTCCGAAACCTTCATTACCGACGCGAAGACGCCGTCATCGTCGTCGGCGTGATGGGCATCGGCGCCGTCATCGCCACTATCATCATCATCATCATCATCATCATCATCATCATCATCATCATCATCATCATCATCATCATCGTCTCTACAATTCTCGTCACCAACATCGCCGTTATCATGGTCATCGTGTCTACAATTGTCGACGTTGCCATGATACCGCGCCCGCCCAAGTCGCCGACTCGCATACAGGTGCCCGCTAGGATGTGCCGAGCGGTCAGCACCACCGCGGCCTCGTCCGTCGCGCCAAACTTCCTGGCCGCTGCGCGCGCGCATGGGCGGGCTGGCGCGGCCGCAAAGACGCACCAGCCAGCGCCAAGCACTCATCGCAATCGCCGCCGCATGAGGTTTGCAAACCAAGTTGCGGGTGGGTGGGTGGGATGTTTGCGCGAGCAGTGGAGTGGACAACCCATTGTGAGCAAAAATGAATTGCACTACATACATTGCACCGCGCAGGCTGCAAGTTTGGGGCCCACGCTGGCTAACGTTGATATGTTTATCGGGTTGGGCTGTTTACAAGTTTTCTTCTTCTACCATGAAACAGTTTCGAAGTCAACCTTGCAGACCCTGGGAGGCCTTGAGCTGCTATGGGAGGCATTAAGAAGACCTGGGAGACCCAGGAGATCCCTGGGACTCACTGCTTGTGAGTTGAAGTGCTCTGGCAAACCCTGGGCGCTCCTAGGCTGAGAAGGAGATGCCACTGGACACGCGCTAATGCTAACATGCTTCAAACGAGTACACCAGGCCTCACGGATCGCCAGAGTAGGTACGCCTCATGCATCCATGCCGACAGTCTTACAGGAGACATGAATACATCAGGGTGAATGATGACCAGCTTGCAAGAATTGTTTAAGGTAAGCTGGCACACCTATCAGCCGCCTCGTTCGGGGGGCGAAAGGGGAGTCATGGGGGATGTGGCGAAACGAGGGGTCTGCCCCTTCGAAGACATTTTGATGACACATTTGCATAACACCCCCCACGGCACCGCCTGATAATCTAACATACTCGGTGCGCCACAGTCGCGGTGGCGGATACACATATGGCGTCCGATGAGAAGCTTGATCTCTGATGCTTGGTGGCCTGCACGAGTGGGGCTGGGGAATACACAGAGGGGGAGACAGATGGGCCTCATACAACAGTCGAGGTTGATTAGTAAGTCGACCCTGCCAAATCAAGACCCATGTGTCCTGTGCTTCGCAACCTATGCCTTCTACACTCTTGCGGCAGTGTGGCCCTCAGAAGGGTCTCGTGTCCTCTCGAGTGCCCTCTCCGATCAGACCCGACCTCACACAGAGGGGGAGACAGGCGTTCAGAGTGGGTTTCGAAGAAGTCGGGCCCTGGAGGGCTCAACAGGATCCGAGAGAGCCCGACGGATCGGCCAGAGTTTGCGAGGTGTGTACCCCACCAGCGGGGCGCGCCTCTCCGATCAGCTTGCTTGCCAGTCCGCGTGGCGCCCGCTCTCCCGGTCGCCGTGCACCTGCGTGCTGCACGCAGGCCGTCCCCAGCAGGAGAATCAGAGTGGACTTCGGAGAGGCCGGGTCTCACCACTCAGAGTGTCCGCGGCGTGCTCGTTTACGTAACCCTGCCGCGTGCTTCAGCGGTCGAGTCGCGGCAGCGGCCGCGCCCCACGCCTCGGCAGGCTGACGGCGAGGCGTCGCCATCGAGGAGGAAATCTCGGCAGAAGCCAGCCGCCGAGAAGCGGTGGGGGCGTGTGCACATTGGGCCTGGCAGGGCCTTTTTTGATCGGCCCCTCATGTCTCCTCCTCGTTCTCTCTCCTCCTCCTCTTCCTCCTCCTTCTCCTCTTCCTCTTTCCTCCTTCTCCTCATTTCTCCTCCTCTTCCTCATTCCTCCTCCTCCTCCTCTCCTCCTCCTCCTCCTCATCCTCCTCGTCCTCCTCCTCCTCCTCCTCCTCCTCCTCCTCCTTCTCCTCTTCCTCCTCATTCCTCCTCATTCCTCCTCATTCCTCCTCCTCGTCCTCTCCTCCTCCTCCTCCTCATCCTCCTCCTCCTCGTCCTCCTCCTCCTCATCCACCTCCTCATCCTCCTACTTCTCCTCTTCCTTCCTTCACTCGAACGGTCGTCCCACTTTCCCACCCCTGTCCTGCCTGGTTTGCTATGGTGGAGGTGCTGGAGACTGGGGATCAAGTATCTCCAGGGCACCGACCGCGCGCTGGTCCTCTGTGCTCCCCCTCCCGGGCTCGCACTGACTCCTCCTCCTTTTCCTCCACCTCCTCCTCCTCATTCCTTCTCCTCCTCCTTCTCCTCCTCATTATTCCTCCTCTTCCTCCTCTTCCTCCTCCTCCTCCTCTCTGGCCTCTCCGACGCCGGTAGGCCCATCCTGGTCGGCGACTGCAAATGGTCAAAGATTTCCATGTTTTCCCAGAGGCCCAGAGATCATGGGAATGATACGTTCCAAGATTTCGATGCTTTCCTGTAGATGTCCTAGAAGGCTCCGCACGGACTTCAGAAACGAGGGCCTCTAGATACTCCGGAATTCCTGGAACGCATCCTGAACCCATCGTATCATGCCGCCATTCCCATCCTATGACTACAAAGCGTGTGGTTACGCTGGCGTGTGGTTTGCGATCGGCGCCCGTTGCCTGGGGGGCACGACGCTGTCCTCGCCAGGCCTCCTCGGGGCGCGGCGGAGAACTCTATCGAGGGCCCCGCCCGCCCCCCAGAGTGTCCCCCAAGGTGCCGGTTGCAAACCACACCTTTCGGAGTCGCCGACCTGGGTCCAGACTTGGCATGCACGCCCGTTTGACGCGGTGGACGTCGATGTCAGCATAGCATGCGATGTCGCCGTCGTTGTTGCCGTTGCCGTTGCTGTTGGTACTGGGGCCATTACGCAGGTGCCTGTGGCAAGTCCCTCCTCCGTGTCAGCTCAGCCCGTTGAGTGGCGAAGCTTTGAGCACCCAAGGCCTCACGCGTGACACATTTCGTCTTTACTTCTCGAGGGGCTTTCATGGAGCTTATTTGGGCCGTCTTATGGGCTGTCTTGAGATCCTGTGGGGCAGTCTTGGAGTCCCTTGGGGCCTACCTGGGCCCCCTTTGGTGCCCTCTTGGGCTGTCTTGAGCGAGTCTTGGGCCATCTTGGGATCATCTTGGCAGTCAACGGGGTCCATTGGGACCATCGTGGGGCCGTATTGAGGCCGTCGAGGGGCCGTCGAGAGGCTCTCTGAGGCCGTCTTGGGTCGCTTGGAGCTCTCTTGGAGATGTCCTGGGCCGTTGGGCTGTCTTGAGGCAGTCTTGAAGGATTCTTCGCAATTTTGTTACTGTCCTGGCCATCTTGGAGGCCATTTGGAGCTGCAGGTGGCCCGAAAAGACAAATACACCCAAATCTCTGAAGACGCTCAAGGGAATAAATGAGTTTGGCTTCTTCGGGCCCTACTGGGGGTCCTCTTGTGGCCCTTCTGCACCATATTGAGGGCCTCGTGGGCCGTCTTGGGGTCATTTTGGGTCGCCTTGGAGCCATCTTGGGTAGTCTTGGAGGCATATTGGGCCATCTTGACGATCCTGCTGGCCTGCTTCGGCAGTCTTGGAAGCTCGGGAGCGCGGGCTCCATTGCTGTTTGCGAGGGAGTGTGGCCTCGGAAGCGCGTGGCCCATGTTTTTTCCAACCATCCTGTGGTGCTGGGTCCCCTCGTCGCTTTCCTTCCTTTCTTCCCTCGTTCCTTCCTCTCCTCCCCATCCTCCTCCGCCTCCTCCCGCTCCTCCCTCCCTCCATCCGCCATCATCATCATCATCATCATCATCATCATCATCATCATCATCATCATCATCATCATCATCATCATCATCATCATCATCATCATCATCATCATCGTCATCGTCATCGTCATCGTCATCGTCATCATCATCATCGTCGTCATCATCATCATAATCAGCATCGTCATCATCACCATCACCATCACCATCATCAGCAGCAGCATCAGCAGCATCGTCATCATCTTCAGCATTAGCATCATTAGCATCATCATAATCCCATGCGCCCGTGCCATCAATTTCGGCACATCATTTAAACGGTTCGTGGCGTCATAGGGAGCTCCACCGACGGCCCCAGTGGCACAGTTTACATGCGTCCCCGCCATTCGTTACGGCACACCCCTCACACGGTTTGTGGCCCCATAGGGAGCTCCACCGAAGGCACCAGTGGCGCAGTTTACATGCGCCCCCGCCATTCGGGTCGGCACTCGCACTCTCCTCACACGTTTCGTGGCACCCATTTCGGCACACCCTTCCCGCGTTTCGTGGCTCCATAGGGTGCTCCACCGAAGGTCCCAGTGGCACAGTTTACATATGTTTACATGCGTCTTCGCCACCCATTACGGCACACTCCTCACACGGTTCGTGGCTCCATAGGGAGCTCCACCGAAGGTCTCAGCGGTACAGTTTACACGCGTCCCCGCCACCCAGTACGGCACACCCCTCACGCGTGTCGTGGTCCCATATGGAGCTCCACCGAAAGCCCTAGAGGCACAGTGTACATATGTTTACACGCGTCCCCGCCACTCACGGCGGAACACCCCTCACACGGTTCGTGGTTCCACAGGGAGCTCCACCGAAGGCCCCAGTGGTACAGTTTACAGCGTCCCCGCCACTCATTACGGCACACGCCTCACGCGGTTCGTGGCCCCGTATGGAACTCCACCGAAGGCCCCAGTGGCACAGTTTACATCTGTTTACACGTGTCCCCGCTATTCATGCTGGCACACTCCTCACACGGTTCGTGGCTCCATAGGGAGCTCCACCGAAGGCCCCAGTGGTACAGTTTACATGCGTCTTCGCCACCCATTACGGCACACCCCTCACGCGGTTCGTGCCCCCATACGGAGCTCCACCGAAGGCCCCAGCGGCACAGTTTACATATGTTTACATACGTCTCCGCCACTCATGCCGGCACACTCCTCACACGGTTCGCGGCTCCATAGGGAGCTCCACCGAAGTCCCCAGTGGTACAGTTTACATGCGTCCCCGCCACCCATTACGGCACAGCCCTCACGCGGTTCGTGGCCCCGTATGGAATTCCACCGAAGGCCCCAGTGTTTACATGCGTCCACGCCACTCATGTCGGCACACCCCTCACGCGGTTCGTGGCTCCACAGGGAGCTCCACCGAAGGCCCCAGTGGTACAGTTTACATATGTTTACATGCGTCCCCGCCACTCATGCTGGCACTTTCCGCACACGATTCGTGGCTCCATAGGGAGCTCCACCGAAGGCCCCAGTGGTACAGCTTACATGCGTCCCCGCCACCCATTATGGCACAGCCCTCACGCGGTTCGTGGCCCCGTATGGAGCTCCACCCAGGGCCCCAGTGGCACAGTTTACATATGTTCATATACGTCCCCGCCACTCATGTCGGCACACCCCTCGCACGCTTCGTGGCCCCATAGGGAGCTCGACCGAAGTCCCCAGTGTTATAGCTTTCATGCGTCTCCGCCACCCATTATGGCACATCCCTCACGCGGCTCGTGGTCCCATATGGAGCTCCACCGAAGGCCCCAGCGACACAGTTTACATATGTTTACATGCGTCCCCGCCACTCATGCCGGCCCCATTGTGGCCCCATAAGGAGCTCCACCGAATGCCCCAGTTGGATAGTTTACATGCGTCATTGCCGCACATTCCGCCACACTCCTCACACGCTTCGTGGCCCCATAGGGAGCTCCACCGAAGGTCCCAGTGGTGCAGTTTACATACGTCCCCGCCATTCATTACGGCACACCCCTCACGCGGTTCGTGGCCCCCATAGGGAGCTCCACCGAAGGCCCCACCCCAGTGGCACTGTTTACATGCTTCCCCGCCACCCATGTCGGCACACCAGTCGCACGCTTCGTTGCCCCATAGGGAGCTCCACCGAAGTCCCCAGTGGTACAGTTTACATGCGTCTCCGCCACCCATTACGGCACACCCCTCACGCGGTTCGTGGACCCTTGCGAGACTACCGGCGCGCGTCGCGGGGATTCCGCGCTGCGCTCTGCCCACCTCCGCGGTCACCAGGGCGCGAGTACACAGACAGGAAACATCTGAGTGACCACCATCCCGCTCCGCTGCCTCCCCCTTCACCCCGCCCCTGCCAGCACTGCCCCGCGCTTCGTTCTTGCTGCGGCGCGCTGCCTACGAGAGCTAGTCTGAGTTTGCGCGCCCCTCTCCCTCGTCTCATCTCCTTCGCGGTACTCGCAGCTGCACATGGTTGGGCCCTTCGTCGGGCTAATTGCTTGTGCGAGAGATCGTGGGCTCGGGAGGAAGGGCGGTGCGTGCAACGCTCTACTGCCGGATGGGGAGCTCTCTCGGATGACTAACGGGAACATTGCCAGGCAACATTTGGCATTCCGCCACTCCTCAGCGCGCCAAGGGGGCACGGTGGCAGATCAGTTGATGGGTGCGACCACCTTTCGAGGGTGCATTTCGTGAGCAGCATGGCCCAAAGTCACACTGACGAAAATATTGATTGCGGTGGATTCCTGGGTTCGACCTCACCATTTGGATTTTTGCGGCTAGGGGTGAGGACGTTTGCGATATGCATGTGGCTGTTTGCATACAAGGGCGGCGATTCAGTAGGTCACAGCTTCTACGTTCACATCAATATCAGAGTGAGGGGACCGAGCGGTCATTCACTGTCCCTGGGTACGTGGCTGACGTGTTCGCGGCACGGATTATGTTTGTTGTTGTTGGTCATGATGCTGTTGTTTGTGCTAGC